GTAATTACCTCCTTGGGGAGTCCCCCCCTTCCGTGGTGTAGCTGGGTATAGCCCCAGCACGGGCACAGAGGCTTCCCACTGCTCCCAGTGGTCCCGCGGGAATACCGCAGTGGCTCTCATAGCGATGGTTCTCATTCGACGAAAATTGGATTTTGCGCTCGCGCCCGCGCTTCGTCTGGCGTTTCTTTCATACGTACGGCCAGCCGTTTCAATCATGCGACGATTCGGACTCGCGTAACGACGAATTCTCGATCCGTACTCTTTTTCTCCCCTGTGAAGTACCGTTTTCGAAACTCGACGACACCAAAGATCGAGGAGACGATGTTTTGAAACGAACCACAAGTTACGTCACCAGCTATCCGTCGAGAGAAAAATCAATAAAACTTCTACGTAAGGTGGACTTGATTTTCGAGATAATTGATCGCAAAAGCGGATACAGACCCATCGAATATCGAATTCTGGAGTCCTTCGGAACTATCGCAAGCTGAAGAAACGTCGTCGTACAAATTTCCGAGAACATTAGCGGGACCGCCCGGTCACATCGGGTCCGGAGTGGTGCACCACCAAGAATACCACGCGATTAATAGAGTGCACTTTTAGAAAGGTTATCTTAAAGTATGATCTACTGGTATTTAAGGGGAATCTTGTGTAACGGGTTCAAAAAACCAATTTTTCTTTTTCTCGTAATTCAAACGTATAGAGTTTCTAGAATAAACTACCCGAAATTTTAAGGTTGAATTTGCAAAAATAACAAAGCTACGAATTATTTTGTAAAACGTGTAAAAGTATGAAGTGTTATTCGGTAGACGTATCTCGAAACTTTATTAAAAACTTCAAACATGTTTTTCTCAAAACCACACTCTTCAAATTAACGTCTAAGATAATATAAAAAGTAATTGATTGATCAACTTCAAACACGGTTTTTTTTATTCGTTAGATATATGTATATTTTTCCAGAGACTGAACCTACAATTTCAGTTTTTATTTTTATGTTTTTTCTTCGTCTACATAAAGTCCAGTTATCTAAAGTAGAGAAGTAATTTTTCTTTCAAATACTATAGACTTTTCAATTTTTTATTTTTTTTACCCTAAAACAGATTCGATACCAGCATAGACTATCTAAATTTAAGAAAATTGTTTGTTTTTTGCAATCTGACGAGTGTGATAGATGCTACAAAAAAGGCAAACAGAAATTGCATCATCCAAGAATTTAACAAAATTCTACATTAAATAATCAATAATAAAAGGAATGGCTATAAAAAAATTATTTTCTGTAATTTAAACATATCTCTTTATATCCTCAAAAAAAGTTTAATTTAACTTAACTATAGTTATTCAAACAAAAATTCATGAATATCAGATATTTTTACCCCTCAGAGTCACCTTTACATTAATATTGAAAAAATGTTATTAAGGAAGATTATTGTAATTAAAATTTACTTATTTGAAAAAAGGCTTTAATCAAGATTTTACGATAAAATAATCGACTTAGAAAATTTAATATAAATCAGTGAAGTAAACTTATTAATTTGTTAATTAAAATGTTCTGGGACGATTTTGTCGTCATAGTAAATTTTCTAAAAAATAAAAATAATATGCAACATAATATTAGACATTGATATCTTCGATAAATAATAATTAAATTATATTTCAACGTGAAACACGAAAACTATAAAAAAAAAAAAACGAAAATCATTTATTGAACTATGGAACATTTATTTATCATACTAAAAACCCCGAAGTACAAGTCACTAAACTGAACTAAAAAATTAAGAAACATTGTATGTTACTATGTACTTGCAAGTATGGGGGCTGGAAAAACAAAATATTGCATAAAACTCACCGATTGTTGAGTATAATGAAGTAGTACAGTCCAATGATGAGGCTGTTGTCCAGTGAAGGACTCTATGGAAGTCATCGGTAACGTCGGCTAAATATCTGCTGGATTTGTGGATGCAGTGCTGAGATGCAAAGAAACTGTAAAGGACTAAAATAAAAAATTATTATCTGTTGTTGAAATTACAGATATTTAATTTAATATAAAAGACTAGATTTCAAACTAATGAAAGCTTCCCGAAAGTTTTGAAAATTTAAAACTATGATAATATAATTTTGAAAATATCAATTGTTTTTTAATCATACATAGAATAAAATATAATGATACTTACATTTTTTGATTGTAGAGCATCATTTAATACTTCTCTTCGATGATGCACTTATTCTAACATCGTTAACGAGAAACTTTAATTTTCAAACAAAAAATTAAAAAAATGTTAATTAAAATGATAAAGCCAATCACATGACAATAAATTAACGCGACCGACGATCAAGGATACCGAACGATTGACTCTACAGAAAGAAAAAAATTTACGACTGCGCTGTAAACACTGACTCGACCTTCACGTGTGCCTAAAATGCAAACGATGATCTACGAAACAAACACTGATTCTACCGACTGCATTGCGCGCAGTCATCGACATTTCTGAAAAAAAAATTGTGTGGGAGAATAGAAGAAATTCAATAAGCACACATGTGCTTTCCTGATTTCCTTTTTCTCCAATTTAGTATTGTTCACAGGAAACTGTTGTCTTTTTTCTAAACTACGAATATAGTTTTGTCAATTAAATATTAAATATCTAGAAATATGTAACCGCGATCAAAATACAGTACAATTTACGTAAACCTAATCTTCGAATAACATTCCAGTAAAAATATAAAAATATATAAACATATACACATACTCACGTGTTATAATAAAATGGATTTTATCAATATTCAATTTCAAATTCGCCCGTTGTGTCATGGCGTCGATTGCATGCCGGTAGAGTTCCTTGTATGTACTTGTATTCCAGTCAAAGACTGTAACAAAAATAAGACACAAATTTCGATCAAACGCATTAAAATAAATGTAACTATACCATAATTAAGTAACAACTGAACACGAAATACGTTGTGTGAGATTGTAATTATGTTTCAACAAGACATGATAAATGATACGTATTAGGTATGGAAAAATAACCGCGAAATTGATTCAACTTTTTTCACGATTGCGACTGAATTTATAATTGAAACGTATTAATACTAAACAAGGACACCGATGAGGAGTGACGGAGAGTTCTTATAACGATTAGAAACGTTTAGATGACAAGGAGTAAAAAGATCGTACCTTATTAGACGCGAAGCTGTCAACACGTCTCGCTACGTCACGTTCCAGGGAACGAATGTCGACTGTGACCGTTGCAAATTAGTCGGTGGGGAGTGTGTCCGCTGGTCCAACATCTCGATTCTCGATGTATATTTCCGAAGGAAAGGTAAACCTTGTATCTTGAATATAATGTTGTTATTACATGTGGTTGAGGGTGTCCTAGGTTGAAACTGAGGCTATAAATTAAATACATAAACTTTGCAAACAAACAATTAATTATTTAATGATTTATTATCGTTTATCCTTTTGTGGCGTCACAATGCGAAGCGTCTGTCTTTCGATACATTCGATAGATTCGATAGTGTACCTTAAAGATGAAATATCGATCTATTATGCTATTCGTTGGTAATTCGGTCGATCGAAATATGTACTTTATAATATTTATATAAATTTTTGTAAATGCAACAATAGACAAAATGTTTGTGTTGTCGATTTCGGTATATAAATTACATTTTTCTCCAAAATTATATTTCTTAGACGTGGTATACGTTGTAAAAACATAAATTTCTCACAATGTTTGTACTTTGGTTCATAAAACACAAACTCTTACATATTGAGTCTGTTCTAATTTATGACTCGTATGTGCCTATTCCTTTTGTATTATAGCATGTTTTCTAAAATTTTTTGTTTTAATTATTACTATACTAGCATAGGGATCTTTCTTTAGTCTGAGTCGATGAGTTTGACAAACTGATGGTAAGAAGTGCACAAGTCGGTACAGATTACCCATGTGTAATTCATATAGGCATAGACGAAGTATGGAATAGATGTTCCATGCAATGTTTTTCGTGACACGCGTATAAGAAGCACAGACAATGCATACAATAGAGTGTCGCATGGCAAGGAATTCGTGAGCCCTGTTCCAAGGTTAGGTCGAGCAGCCGGCAGCTGCGTAAACACAGCTAACTGAGCTTTTAAAATATAACCAGTAAATTGGGTCACTGTCAGTGGCTTACTAATGCTTGCAATGGTAAGAATACAATTACTTTAAAAAATATTCTGTAACACACAAGGAATAGGCACAGATGAATAATAAGTTAGTGCAGTCATTTAATAGAGTTAGTGTCCTACGAAGTAAAGTACAAACATCGTGAAAAATTAATGTTTTTGTATATTCTATACTTTTTGTAGTCTACGTTTAAGAATTGTGATTCAGAAAAAAAATATTTAACTTATTTACTAAAAACCGACAATGCTAGCAAATGGAAACATTTCGTCTATCGCATTAACAAACATTTAAAAAGAAATATTGATTGAAACTTAGATCGCAAGTTAATATCTACACATTATACGTTCATATGGTTGGAATTAAAGTATTTCGATCGATCGAGTTGCTTACGTATCGCATAATCAATCGAGATTCGATTTTCAAGAAATGTCAGACTAGATGCATCGCATTATGACATCACAATAGTATGAACGATAATAAATTATTAAATAATCAATTGTTTGTCTGGAATGTTTATGTATTTAATTTATAGCACCTGTCTCCACCTAGGGTACTCTCGACCATGTGTAATAACAACATTATTTCAGATGCAAGGTTAACCTTTCCTTCGGAAATATACATCGTGAATCGAGACGATGGACCAGCGGACACACTCCCCATCGACTAATTTGCAACAGTGAAAAGTCGAAAGTCGTTTCCTGGAAATTAGCATGGTGAGACACGTTGACAGCTTCGCGTTTAAACGCTTCTAATCGCTACAAGTATTATCCGTCACTCGTTATCGGTGCCCTCGATTAATATTAATACATTTCTATTATAAATTTAGTCGCAAACGTGAAAAAAGTTGAATCAGTTCCGCGGTTGTTTTTACATATCTAATAGGTATCAATTACCATATTTCGAAACAAAATTGCAATCTCATACAACGTAAGTCGTGTTCAGTTGCTACTTAATTATGATATAGTTACATTTATTTTAATGCATTTGATCGAAATTTGTGTTTTATTTTTGTTATAGCCTTGACTGGAATTCGTGTACATACAAGGAACACTACCGGCATGCAATCGACGCCATGATGCAACGGACGAATTTGAAATTTAATATTGATGAAATCTATTTTATTGTAACACGTGGGTATGTGTGCATGTTTATACATTTTCATATTTTTAGCGAAATTTTATTTGAAAATTAGAATTACTTAAATTATACTACATTTTGATTATATATTTCAGGATATTGAATATTTAATTGACAAAACTATATTCGTAGTTTAGAAAGAAAAACAGTTTCCTATGAAAAACATTAAATTAGAGAAAAATGGGAATGAAGAAAGCACATATATGTGCTTACTGAATTTCGTTTTTATTGAACTTCACAATTTTTCTTTCTTAAATGTCGATAACTGCGCGCAATGCAGTTGGTAGAATCAGGATTTGTTCCGTAGAATAGTTTACGTATATTAAGCTGGCGTAGCCATTTGAAAAGGCCAAAGCAAAATTAATACGATATTTTTTTGCTATTTATTTGCTAATTATTTGCCAAAGAATTAATTTTTTTGCTCCGGCCGTTTTTGAGAAACAATGGCTATGCTACCGTAATATTAAGCTGGCGTAGCCACTTATTGTATCTCTGTACGTAAGACAGATATCAATACCATTCTTGCGGCATCTTTTGTTGCTAATTTATTGCTGTTAATCCACTGAATATTAATTTTTTTGCCACAGCCGTTTTCGAAAAACTGTGGCTGCTGTAGCTCAATATTAACATAACGTAGCCACATGTTGTATCACAGTAGGTAACAAAGCTACCGATACCATTCTTGCGGCATATTTTTTTGCTAATTATTTGCTATCAATCCCCCGAATATTAATTTTTTTGCCGCAGTCTTTTTCGAGAAACGACGACCGCGCTGGACCAGCGTTAATCTAGCATAGCCACGTGTCGCGCCTTTGAGCCTAAGAAAGCTATCGATACCATTCTTGAGGCATATTCTTTTGCTAATTATTTGCTATCAATCCCCCGAATATTAACTTTTTTTGCTGTAGTCTTTTTCGAGAAACGACGACCGCGCTGGACCAGCGTTAATCTAGCATAGCCACGTGTCGCGCCTTTGTACCTAACACAGCTATCGATACCATTCTTGCGGCATATTCTTTTGCTAATTATTTGCTATCAATCCCCCGAATATTAATTTTTTTGCCGTAGTCTTTTTCGAGAAACGACGACCGCGCTGGACCAGCGTTAATCTAGCATAGCCACGTGTCGCGCCTTTGAGCCTAAGAAAGCTATCGATACCATTCTTGCGGCATATTCTTTTGCTAATTATTTGCTATCAATCCCCCGAATATTAATTTTTTTGCTGCAGTCTTTTTCGAGAAACGACGACCGCGCTGGACCAGCGTTAATCTAGCATAGCCACGTGTCGCGCCTTTGTACCTAACACAGCTATCGATACCATTCTTGCGGCATATTTTTTTGCTAATTATTTGCTATCAATCCCCCGAATATTAATTTTTTTGCCGTAGTCTTTTTCGAGAAACGACGACCGCGCTGGACCAGCGTTAATCTAGCATAGCCACGTGTCGCGCCTTTGTACCTAACACAGCTATCGATACCATTCTTGCGGCATATTCTTTTGCTAATTATTTGCTATCAATCCCCCGAATATTAATTTTTTTGCTGCAGTCTTTTTCGAGAAACGACGACCGCGCTGGACCAGCGTTAATCTAGCATAGCCACGTGTCGCGCCTTTGTACCTAACACAGCTATCGATACCATTCTTGCGGCATATTTTTTTGCTAATTATTTGCTATCAATCCCCCGAATATTAATTTTTTTGCCGTAGTCTTTTTCGAGAAACGACGACCGCGCTGGACCAGCGTTAATCTAGCATAGCCACGTGTTGCGCCTTTGAGCCTAAGAAAGCTATCGATACCATTCTTGCGGCATATTTTTTTGCTAATTATTTGCTATCAATCCCCCGAATATTAATTTTTTTGCCGTAGTCTTTTTCGAGAAACGACGACCGCGCTGGACCAGCGTTAATCTAGCATAGCCACGTGTCGCGCCTTTGTGCCTAAGAAAGCTATCGATACCATTCTTGCGGCATATTCTTTTGCTAATTATTTGCTATCAATCCCCCGAATATTAATTTTTTTGCCGTAGTCTTTTTCGAGAAACGACGACCGCGCTGGACCAGCGTTAATCTAGCATAGCCACGTGTCGCGCCTTTGAGCCTAAGAAAGCTATCGATACCATTCTTGCGGCATATTCTTTTGCTAATTATTTGCTATCAATCCCCCGAATATTAATTTTTTTGCTGCAGTCTTTTTCGAGAAACGACGACCGCGCTGGACTAGCGTTAATCTAGCATAGCCACGTGTCGCGCCTTTGTACCTAACACAGCTATCGATACCATTCTTGCGGCATATTCTTTTGCTAATTATTTGCTATCAATCCCCCGAATATTAATTTTTTTGCCGTAGTCTTTTTCGAGAAACGACGACCGCGCTAGACCAGCGTTAATCTAGCATAGCCACGTGTCGCGCCTTTGTACCTAACACAGCTATCGATACCATTCTTGCGGCATATTCTTTTGCTAATTATTTGCTATCAATCCCCCGAATATTAATTTTTTTGCTGCAGTCTTTTTCGAGAAACGACGACCGCGCTGGACTAGCGTTAATCTAGCATAGCCACGTGTCGCGCCTTTGTACCTAACACAGCTATCAATACCATTCTTGCGGCATATTTTTTTGCTAATTATTTGCTATCAATCCCCCGAATATTATTTTTTTTGCTGCAGTATTTTTCGAGAAACGACCTCGAAAAAGACTGCGGCAAAAAAATTAATATTCGGGGGATTGATAGCAAATAATTAGCAAAAAAATATGCCGCAAGAATGGTATCGATAGCTTTGTTACCTACTGTGATACAACATGTGGCTACGTTAGGTTAATATTGAGCTACAGCAGCCACAGTTTTTCGAAAACGGCTGGGGCAAAAAAATTAATATTCAGTGGATTAAGAGCAATAAATTAGCAACAAAATATGCCGCAAGAATGGTATTGATATCTGTCTTACGTACAGAGATACAATAAGTGGCTACGCCAGCTTAATATTACGGTAGCGTAGCCATTGTTTCTCAAAAACGGCTGGAGCAAGAAAATTAATTCTTTGGCAAATAATTAGCAAATAAATAGCAAAAAAATATCGTATTAATTTTGCTTTGGCCTTTTTAAATGGCTACGCCAGGCTTAATATACGTGAACAGTTTTTTATTTTTCGAAGCACAGTAGCTTTCAGCAGATTATCGTTTGCATTTTAGGCACATGCAAAAGGTCGAGTCAATGTTTACTGTGCAGTTGTGAATTTTTTTTGAATCGCGACAGTGGAGTCACTCGTTTGGCGATCTTGAGTTTCGGTCGCGTTATTTACTGTCGCGTGATAGTCTCTATCATTTTAATTAACATTCTTCAATTTTTCTTTTCAAGAATGAAATTGTTCGTTAACGATATTAGAGTAAGTGCTTCGTCAAGGAGAAGTATTAAATGATGCTCCACGACCGAAAAATATAAGTATCATTGTATTTTGTTTCATGTACGTTTAAAAAAAATTGATATCTTCAAATTATATTATTGCAGTTTTAAATTTTCAAAACTTTCAGGAAGATTTGATTAGTTCCAAATGTAGAGTCTTTTATATTATATTAAAAGTGTCTGTAATATTAACAACAGATAATAATTTTTTATTTTAGTTCTTCACAGTTTCTTTGCATCTCAGCACGAATCCAGTAGAACTATCTAGACGACGTCACCGATCACTTCCATAGAGTTCTTCACTGGACAACAGCATCATCATCGTCGGTGCTGGTTCATCATACTCAACAATTGGTGAGTTTCGTGCATTGGTATTTTATACAAACAACATTTGTATATTATGAATAGGACCAAGTTTTTTAATTTCAAAAATACGTGAATATGATTTGGGTAATATTGTACACAGTACATGTAAATTGTACATATTGCTTGCATATTTTACATATTTTTCGTGCATAATTAGCGCAGTACATGCATAATTGGTAAGTTAACGACAAATAATCAAACAGGAAAGATATACATTGGTCATTTTAATCTAGCTACGTAGAAGTCAATTAGGCGATTTCGTCGAAAGAGGTCATTAGTAAAATATTCCATTCGAAATAATCATAGGTTTCCAGAAGGACTAATAACCGAATCGACTAGTATAATCATCACGATACTCGCGCCCTAAGTAATTCGAATTTAAATGGGTCCTCTAGTAATGGTCACGGAAAAACTAGGTCATTTTTAGGACGTTGTAACATGAAAACTATTTAAGACATTAGTCCGAAACTTTGTCGTTCTTTCGAATTCTAATATTTTAGGGGGCCATTCTTAAAGCCCCAAGCATTGAAAAGAGATAAACAAAAACTTCGATTTTTTCAATCCGTCACAGTGCCCCCCTTCTCTCCGTCCTCCTTAAGATTTGAGAGCTTCAGAAAATCCACGCAAAGAAACGCATTTTTTCGAGTCAAACAATCGAAAAGAACTCTCGATGCCCGGATACTGACGCTGACGTACCAATCGAGTTTTATAAAATCTCGACTCGAAAGCACGCGCAAACGTCGCACGGAATTATACGAAGGTGGTCCCAGAAGTACTCGACCTAACAAAAAAAACACAAGAAATTTGGGAACAAATATCTTTATTTTTCAACATAATCTCCATTTAGCTGGGTGCACTTTTCCCAGCGGTGTTAAATAGCTTCGATACCCTATTTAAAATGAGAACCATCGAGCTCTTCAAAATAGCCATTAACCGTAGACTCCACCTCTTCATTATTCTTTTACCACCGAGCCATTTTTTCAAGTTTGGAAAGAGAAAATAATCCGAGGGGGCTAGATCTGGCGAATAGGGTGCGTGAGGGAGCAATTCGAACTTTAACTCCTGGATTTTGGCCATCGCGATAACGGATGTGTGAACTGGTGCATTGTCTTGGTGAAGCAACACTTCCTTTTTCGCCAAATGCGACCGTTTTTCCTTGATTTTGTCACTCAAACGCTACAATAAATTCGCATAGTACACGCCGTTGATTGTTTTTCCTTTTTCAAGATAATCAATGAAAATTATTCTACGCGTATCCCAAATGACGACGCCATGATCTTGCCAGCAGATGAAACTGTCTTCGCTTTCTTTGGAGCTGGTTCTCCTCTTACAGTCCATTGTTTTGACCGTTCCTTCGACTCAGGTGTGAAGTGATGGACCCGGGTTTCATCCATGGTTGTAAATCGACGCAAAAACTCGGCTTTATTCCTGTGAAACATCGCCAAACACTCAATTGAAACATCCTCACGACGCTGTTTTTGTTCCATTGTGAGCAAGCGCGGCACCCATCTTGCACACAGCTTTCTCATATCCAAATTTTCAGTCAATATGCGTTGTACCATGTCTGTAAGCTCGCACACTTTCAGTCGACGATAAAGTTTTGTGAATTTTCTTCACCATTTCCGGTGTGGTCACTTCATTTGGTCAACCACTGCGGTGTTCGTCTTGTCAGCTCGCACGGCCTCGTTTAAATTCTGCCACCCAATATTTTATTGTTGTAAATGAAGGAGCAGACTCCCCTAGAATAGAATCTAGCTCAATTTTGATATTGGTTGGACTCAGACCTTTCAAATGAAAATATTGCGTCACATAACTATGATCAATTTTTTCCATGTTTACAAATTCACTAAGAGCGTTCACTATTAATGCCTGTCAAACAAATACTAAACAATGTGTTTTTTAAACAATAATCGCCATCTATATCTTAGGCCGGGTACTTCTGGGACCACCCTCGTACGAGGGCCGTCTGAAGAGTTTTAAGCCTAACATAGAAACAAGTATTTTTCCAGTTAAATATAGCTTTATTTTCAACATAGTCTCCTCTTAAGTCAATACACTTTTTCCAGCGATGCCGTAACTCTTTTAACCCTTCCAAATAGTAGTTGTTGTCTTGCCCCGCAAAGTAGCCATTTACTTTGCGTTCGATGGAAATCTCTGTCCTCCAAGCGATATTTTGAGCTTAGGAAAGAGGAAAAAATCGCTGGGGTCCAGATCTGGTGAATACGGTGGGTGGTCAACCAATTCGAAACGCAATTCGTGAATATTGGTCACGGCGACAGCCGAAGTGTGAGCTGGTGCGTTGTCTTGATGGAACAGCACTTTCTTCTTCTTCAAATGCGGCCATTTTGATGTGACAAACGCGTTCTTTTGATGTGCCTATAGCCTCTGCTATCTCTCTAACCTTGATTCGACGATTCTCCAGTATCATTTTGCGAACATTTTCGATATTATCGGTAGTGTTCGCAGTTCTTGGCCGCTCCAAACGCTCATCATCAGCCAAGCTAGTACGCCCACGTTTAAATTCAGCTGCCCATCTTTTCACGGTGGCATATGATGGGGTAGAGTCCCCGCAATCAACGTCGATTTCGGTTTTAATTTGCGAGGTTTTTCGATTTTTTCCATCTATACAAAAATACTGACATCGACTGACACAAACGACTGCCAAACAACAACTGGGCGTCCAAAATTTCTGAAATTTTCACAGGTACTTGTCAAAGCATATACCATTGTACTACCAAAATGGTTTTGACGAGAAACGCCACCTTCGTGTCGAGGCTCAAGACTTTTCAGACGACCCTCGTAAATTGTCGTCGCGATCACGTATTCTAATTTATACGCGCGCAATCGATAGCCGCGCGTTTAATTACCATCGCGAGATACCCGAGCGCGTTTTCATCCCTCGAATCCGCGGGATCGTGATCGACGGAGAACCCGGGACGAAATCCAATTCGACCGTTGGTCGCATTAATGCAAGCTTTCATAAGAAATTTATACGTTGTTTAATATTTATTGCCGCGATTTCAGCAGCCACGCGCAACCTACGTTCGCAAATATATCTGTTCCGGCTAAAAGCACGATGGGGGGAGGAAAAAAAACCCCGTGGAAACGTCGAAACGAATCTCGATACTCCAAATCTAAAATCGATACCGGAAACCACCGAGAACCGTCACGGCCTCGCACAACCCCGTCCAAATTTGATTTTAATCGTTGCTTACCCTCAATTAAGGTGTCACCGTATACTTTCGCGATTATATCGCCGATTTTCTACCGATCGAACAAACACAGGCAATTCAATTAAGCTCCGGAATATTCGTTGTTTCGATACGACTTTAATTAACGCCGCGAGTAACGTTTTCTAACCGCAGATCCTTTTTCAGTTACGCGTTTTAATAAACTAGTGATTTTTTGATCGGATATAATTACTTTAAAAATCATACAATAAAACTATATTTGTTTAAAATTAATATACAGGTTGTGCGTTTGAAAACTTTTAATCTAAATATCTCCGAAAACAACACATTTTTGGGAAAAATGTTAAACACGAAAGTTACTCGATTTCAAGAGGGAAACACAACTATTTCATTTAATTTTTATTTTTGAATGCTTTTAAGTTTTATTTATTTATTATAATATCGCAAAATTGCTTTGGAATCGTTCAACAATTCTACATTGATTTGCGTTTTCGACAAAAAAAAATTTACTGTTCAGGACACTATTATAAGGATTTCAAATATACTTATATGCTTGTTCGATAACCGCAAGTTGTAGTTAGATCTATTATAAATACGAGAACATTTTTTCAGTAAATTATACACGATATAACATTTTTACTACAGTCGGATTTTAAGAATAGTATCTCATTTTTTGTTCCCCTGCTGAACTACACGATTCATACATGATATTGTTATACCACGGAAATAAAATTACCAGCCGATGAGGACAAGACTGCTTTGAAATTAGTGGCTTCTTCCCCGAGCGATACCATTGTTCCGCAATATAATACTCGTCCCTCCGATGACGTCTTCTTTTGTTATCGGTCGCGACACGTTATCAGAGACAATTAAATATACGTGAATGGGCGCCATCGTCTGTCTAACTCCTTATTTTCCTCGATTTTTGCACCTATACTGTATATTTCCAAAAAGTAAGGTGCATAAAATTTTTCTTCATTTTTGTACAACATTTTGTCGCGGTGGAGATTCGTTAAAAAAACTTCCTGTAAAATTGACCTTAACAATACAGAGTGTTCAGCTAACCCTGGGAAAAATTTTAATGGCAGATTCTATAGGTCAAAATAAGACGAAAATCAAGAATACCAATTTGTGGATTGAAGCTTCATTAATAAGTTATTAACGTTAAAAGTTCCGCCTGTAGAACGGCAATCTACGAACAGCTGCGTACGCGTGATAGTGATTCTCACTCAGAAAACTGTGAAGCTGTCGATACGTCACTAAGTAGAGTTCCTCATGTTGAGTGAGAACCACTATCGCCCGCACGCAGCTGTACGCAGGTTGCCTATCTAGAGGCGCAACTATAAACGTTAATAACTTTTTAACGAAGCCTCAATCGACAAATTGGTATTCTTGATTTTCGTCTTATTTTGCCCTCTAGAACCCCCCATTAAAATTTTTCCCAGGGTTAGCCGAACACCCTGTATAAGTCATCTTCGTTACACATTTCATGGTAGTAAACATTTATAATAATAATAATATATATGTATAAGTTCAAACACACGACTACATTCATTCGATAAACGAAAACTAATTTGTACCCGATGCATGTTAAATACATTGGATTGTACTATACAGGGTATCCGACCACGCCTGGGCAAAATTTTAATAGATTCTAGAGGCCATAATGAGACGAAAATCAAGAATACTAATTTCTTGATTGGGGCTTCGTTAAAAAGTTATAGAAACATTTCCGGCCACACAGTATATTTTTTCTCGAAACCGGTTAGGATTTCGAGGGTGTGTCTATTCACCAAG